GCTATTTCTTAGACGTTCAGGTGCTAGAATAATGCCATTTAATCCACCGCTTGATATTTTATAGAGAGGTTATGTTGGGAGAGAAGGCTTAAGAAATCTTAGGACGCGGAGGAATCCTTTGTTTTAATCCTATGTATATTATTTTTTATTTTAAAGACATGGGGTACAAGTCGGGATTCAGTCCAGAGATGGTCCACGTGCAGCTAAAGTTTGGGCCCCCGTTGGTCATCACTTCACCTGGTTAAGGATCAGGCACCCTTATTGATGTCATGTGCACCTCTCCCCCCACTCCCCTGGCAGTGTCCCACTACTACTAATGCCTTTTTTTAGTGTTGCGGTGGGTGTTCACGGTCCACTTATGAGTGAGAACACGTGGTATTCAGTTCTTTGTTTCTGTGATAGATCACTAAGTATGACAGACTCTAAATCCATCCAGGTTGCTGCGAAGTCCATGATTTTGTCCTTTATGGCTACATAATTTTCCATTGTGTTTTTGTACCACATTTTTTTATCCAGTCCACTTTCGATGGGCATCAGGGTTGGGTCCATGCTTTTACTATTGTGAATAGTGCTGCAATAAACATGTGCATACATGCTCAGTTATCTTTTTTATTGAATGATTTGAGTTTCTCTGGGTATATTCCCAAAAGGGAGATTGGTGGGTCATATGGAAGACCAGTTTCTAGATCTTTTAGAAATTGTCACACTGTTTCTACAGAGGTTGTACTAATTTACACTCCCACCAATAGTGTAGAAGCTATCGTTTTTCTCTGCATCCACTCCAGAATCTGTTTGTTGAGTTATTAATTATGGCCTTCCTGACTGGAAATAGGTGGTATCTCAGTGTGGTTCTGATTGCATTTCTTTGATGACTAGTGAGGCTGAGCATTTTTTCATATCTCTTGACTGTTCATATGTCTTCATTTGAGAAGTTCTATTCATGTCTTTTTTTCTTTTATTATTATTTTTTTGAGTAGCAGTCTCACTCTGTTGCCCAGGTTGGAGTACAGTGGCATGCTCACGGCCACCACCGCCTCAACCTGCTTGGCTCAGGTGATGCTTCCACCTCAGTCTTCCAGTTAGCTGGAACTACAGGTACGTGCTACTATGTCCAGTTTTTTTTAATTGTAGAGTGAGGTCTAACCCAGTTGCCCATGTTGGTCTCAAACACCTGGACTCAGGCAATCCTCTCACCTCTGCCTCCCAAAGTGCTGGGATTACAGACATGAGCCACCATGCCTGACCTTTTCCCACTTTCTAATGGAGCTTTTTGTTTGTTTTTCCTTTCGTGCACTTGAGTTCCTTGTAGATCCTGAATGTTAGTTAGGCCTTTGTCAGATATACAGTTGAGACAGTTGCATTTTTATATACCAACAGCAAACAGGCCAAAACAATCCTCAGCAAAAGAAATAAAGTAGGAGGTATCACACTTCTAGACTTTAAACTTTATTATACAACTACAATAATTAAAACAACCTGGCATTGGTTCAAAAACAGGCATATAGACCAGTGGAACAGGTTAGAGATTCCAGAAGCAAAACCTCCATTTGTTAACCAACTCATCTTCGACAAAGCTTCCAGCAATAAACCCTGGGGAGAGAAGAACCTATTCAGTAAATTATGCTGGGAAAACTGGCTGACCACATGCAGAAGAATGAAACAGGACCCCTACCTATCACCATACACAAATATTAGCTCTAAATGGGTCAAAGACCTAAACATAAAGCCTCAAACTATAAGAACCTTAGAAAACGCAGGAGACACCCTTACAGAAATTGAAATGGGCAACCAATTTCATAACCCCAAAGCCTATGACATAAGAGATAAGGTAGACAAGTGGGATCTTATCAAACTGAAAAACTTTTGCAAAGCAAAAGAAATCATCAAGAGAGTGGAGCAACAGCCCACAGAATGAAGAGGAACTCTTTACAAAAAATCAGATCTTTTGACAGACAGCATACTCCAAAATGTAAAAGAAAACTGTTAAATCAGTCTGCTTCTATGAGCACTCTTTAAAGTCATTAGTCTAAGAAAAGGTATAGCTGTTGTAGGGCTGCACAGAGCACCAGCCCTTCCTTGCTTTTAGTTTCTTTAACTTTACACTGGATCTTGTACCTACTAAAAGCAGGGTCTTTTTTTTAGTACATCTTGAATCTTACAAATTCACTGCTGAATTTTTTTGAAAAGCCTATTTAAAGTGATTAGAATGATCACCACATTTCTCGCCATGAAAGACTGAAGTTTGCCAGGCATGGTGGCTCATGCCTGTGTAATCCCAGCACTTTGGGAGACCAAGGCAAGGGGATTGCTTGAGCCCAGGAGTTCAAGACCAGTGAGAATTAATCTATGTTTTAAAATATAAAAATAAACAGCTTAGGCCGGTCTCAGTGGCTCGGCCTGTAATCCCAGCACTTTGGGAGGCCAAAGCCAGTGGATTGCCTGTGCCTACAGGTTTGAGACCAGCCTGGGCAACTTGGTGAGACCTCATCTCTACAATAAATCAAAAATTAGCTGGGTGTGATAGTGCACGCCTGTAGTTCTGGCTACTTGGAAGGCTGAGGTGGGAGGATTATCTGAGCCCAGCTGGTCAATGCTGGGGTGGCCATGAGTATGCATGCCAATGCACTCCAGCCTGGGCGACAGAGTGAAACTATAAACCCCAAAAAGGAAAGCAGCTTAAATGACCGCATTTTGCCCATTAGGTGTTAGAGTTAATACTTTACCTTTTTTTAACTTATTCTAAGGAAATGAACAGATGTAAGGGTGCCATAAAACAGTGCCTCATAAGGCTCATTGCTGTGCTAGCCAGAGATTCAGGAGGCTGAGGATCCAGAAATCTGATGAAAGGTTAAAGGTTTGCAATGAAAATCTTTGAGCCATTAGCACTGAGCAGCTTTAAAACACTTTGCTCCAGACCACTCACTTGATGTTGCCTCTGGATGCCATGTTTTTACGATGTAAAATGAATTTGCCCTTTGTAATGGTATGAGATGGTATTGTTACCCATAAGCACAATGATGTACCCCAGATCTCTAGAACTTGCAGGGACTAAAACACTGTACCCACTGAGCAACTTCCCATTTCTCCCCACCTCATCCCAGGCAACCACCATTTACACTGTTGGAGTTTGATTGCTTTAGGAAACAATAGAAGTAGAGTAGGCTGGATGGAGTGGCTACCTGTAATTCCAGCACTTTGGAAGGCCAAGGAGAGAGGACTGCCTGAGCCTGGGTGTTTGAGACTAAGCTTCTGCAACTTGGTGAGACCTCATCTCTACAATAAATCCAAAAATAGGCTGGACTTGGTGGCATGTATCTGTAGTTCCAGCTAATTGGAAGGCTGAGGTAGAAGGATCAACTGAGCCCAGCAGGTTGAGGCTGCAGTGGCCATGAGCATGCCACTGCACTCCAGCCTGGGTGACAAGGGTGAGACTTCAACTTAAAAAAAAGGAGTAGAGTAGTCACCCCGGTGCAGTAGCTCAAGCCTATAATCCCAGCACTTTGGGAGGCCGAGCTAAGGGGACTGCCTGAGCCCACAAGTTCAAGTACAGCCTGGGCCACTTGGCAAGACCTCATCTCTACAATAAATCAAAAAATTAGCCAGGCAGGATAGTGTGTGCCTGTAGTTCCAGCTACCTGGGAGGCTGAGGTGGAAGGATCACCTGAGCCCAGCAGGTCGACACTGGGGTGGCTCTGAGCATGCCACTGCACTCCAGCCTGGGCAATGGAGTGAGACTCCAACTTTAAAAAAAAAAAAAGTAGAGTAGTCAAACAGCCATTGACTTTTTTGTGACCGACTTATTTCACTTAGCATAATGTTCTCCAGGCTTATCCAGTTTGGAGTGTGGGACAGGATGTTCTTTTTATTAGCTTTTTCTTTTCAAGTTAGAGTCTCATTCTGTCACCTAGGCTGGAGCTTTGACCTGCAGGGCTCAGGCGATCCTTCCACCTCAGCCTCCTAGGTAACTGGAACTACAGGTACATGCTACTACATCCAGATAATTTTCTGATTTATTGGTCTTGACAAGTTGTTCAGGCTGGTCTTGACAAGTTGTTCAAGCTAGTCTTGAACCCATGGGCACAGGCAATCTTCTCACCTCTGCCTTCCAAAGTGCTAGCATTACAGGCATGAGCCATGGCTGGCTTTTCCTAGCTTTCTAAGGCTTAATATTCCATCAGCATGTATATTGTAAGAAAAAGAATGATTTATTTTCACAGTAAGACACAAGGTGTATGTAACTGCTTTTTGCTGAGTCACTTCCTGCTGCATCTCTTTTTGTGGGCTTTTACTTTGGTGGGCTTTTTCATTTAAACTTCAAAGGGAATCAATCAGAACAAAATCTTGAAAGCCAATTGGCAAATAGGACATATGTATGAAATAAGTTTGTCATACCTATGTTAACCAATTAATAGGACATGCAGATGAACTAACCAGGTAACCCAGTCAATGTATAACATGGAGGCAAAGTCAGGCAAAGTATGATGTAACCTCTGGAAGTACCCAGCCTATGGGGAAATGGGAGGCACTTGCATTTTAGGGCTTAAATACTCTGGCTGTAACTGCTTTGGTGTGCCTGCTCATCTGAGGGACACTCATTCTTGCAAGAGCGTTATTTTAAAAAGCTGCTTCAATCTACTGATCACCGAGTCTCCTTGTTGTTTTTGGACAATACAGTATGGAGGTGGGAGTGTCTCCCAGGACCCCCATTTCTCGCATATATGCCTCACTATTTATCCATGTATCATTTGGACCAGTGGACTGCTTCCCCTGTGAAACTATTGAAGAGTGCTACTGTGAGCATGGACTTGCAGAGATCTCTGAGAGGCCCTACTTTCCCCTTTAGGATGTAGACTTCGAGGTCAGACTGCAGAGTGATGTGGTGGTTCTGTTTTTAATTTTTTGAGGAAGCTTTATGTTTCCCATAGTGACAGCACCATTTGGCAATCCCACCAAGAGGTCACAAGGGTTCCAGTTTATCCACAGCCTCACCAACACTTGTGAAGCAGTTCAGTGTTGTGAGTTAACCCAGAATCCCAAGGCTCCACCTGTCTGGAAAGGGAGCCTCCTTCCTCCCCTCACCAAAATTTGGGATGGAAACCTCTCACTTCCCTCTTGCCAAAGAGAAAGTGATTATTGGACCCTAGGAGCCTTTGAGTGATGTAGGAAAGAATTTGAGAAGGTTTTTTTTTTTAGGAAACTAGGTAAGCCTCCTTTATTGATTTCAGTTTATAATCATATATTCCCTTATTTTTACAACAGGTCATGGTGGATCAAAAATAAAAGATATCCAAAGTACAACAAACACCAGAATCCAGGTAAGTCCTCTGTTCTTAAGCCCTGAATGAGCATAGTATGTTTCTAAGGGAGTGCCAAACCTGTTTCTGCTCCTATATTACCACACTGTGGTAATTAGGCAAGCTGCCAACACTCTTCCTACTGCGCTTCTAAAGAAGCCTCCTGAGGGTTCCTGGTGTAGATTTTGTGATTTTTTTTTTTTGAGTTGGAGTTTCACTCTTGTCACCCAGGCTGGAGTGTAGTGGCAAGGTCCCAGCTCAGCACAGCCTTGACCTTCTGGGCTCAAGTGATCTTCCTTTCCCAGCCTCCCAAGTCGCTGGGAATAAATGTGCATGCCACCATGCCCAGCTAATTTTCTGATTTCATTGTAGAGATGAGATCTCACTATATTGTCCAAGCTGGTCTCAAACTCTGGCCTCAAGCAGTCCTCCTGCCTCCACTTCCCAAAGTGCTGGAATTACAGGTGTGAGTCACCACACCTGGCCTGGTTTTGTGACTCTTGGAGGTGAAAATCTTTAATGATAATCTCCATCAGAGT